TAAGTAAATCATAAAATACGTTTCTGTCTCCATATTTTTCATAGATAATGTTTATAATATTCCCCAGCTATTGAAAAAAATTCTAGCTAAACCCCTCAGATTCCGAGATATTCATCGAAAACTCCCTAAAAATCGAAATCGACTTGAACCGATTTACAGTTTCGAAGCGAAAATTACGAATATGAAATCGTAAATTACGTTTATGTAACCGCAATTAACGACGAAGAAAAAAAAGTTATTTTGAGCGTAAAATACATTGTTTTTTCGGAAATTTCCCATAAGAAAATCATAAAATACGTTTGTCTCCATATTTTTCATAGATAATGTTTATAATATTCCCCAGCTATTGAAAAAAATTCTAGCTAAACCCCTCAGATTTCGAGATATTCATCGAAAACTCCCCAAAAATCGAAATCGACTTGAACCGTTTTACAGCTTCGAAGCGAAAATTACGAATATGAAATCGTAAATTACGTTTATGTAACCGTTATTAACGACGAAGAAAAAAAAGTTATTTTGAGCGTAAAATACATTGTTTTTTCGGAAATTTCCCATAAGAAAATCATAAAATACGTTTGTCTCCATATTTTTCATAGATAATGTTTATAATATTCCCCAGCTATTGAAAAAAATTCTAGCTAAACCCCTCAGATTCCGAGATATTCATCGAAAATTAGCCAACAGTCGAAATCGACTGAAACCGTTTTACCGCTTCGCTATTGAATTTCCGTTTAGTTTTTTCTGTGTGGATGTCCTATAAATTTTTCACAAAAAGACAGTAGTCCACGACAGTAGTCCACGATGGAAGTAGTGTAAAAAGTTAAAGCTAGCTTGTAAATACGAATACCAAAGTATGAAACCAGTGGTTCACATACCGTTATATGTGCTCTCCTGTATATAATAGTTTTTAGTTACTCTATTTACTTACAAGTGCAACAACTTCGTTGGTTCGTAGGGCGTTTACCAAAGGAGTATTAGAGGACGAGCAGATGCTGCGATTGTAACTCTAAATTTTTAGCTTTTCCTTTCGAAGTACTATGATTACTGTCTTTATCTTTTCATCAGTTGAAAGCACTGGTTTCGATTATGCCGCAGTTGCGGGATAAATCAGATATATAAGTTTGTAAAAATTTTGTATAAAAGAGTAGAGTATCCTAATAAATATTAGAATTAATTTAAATCAGTTTTTGTTTATTTATTGAATGAATGATGAGATTTAAACTCCATGTGTGATCTGATTGTTTTATGAACTGGGGGGTACGCCCCCGCTCACTCCGCTCGCTAACCTTCATATGACCCTCATGATACTTATTCGGACCCTTGTGACCCTTAATCTGACCTTTGTGACCCTTATTTAAACCCTTGTTACCCTTATTTAGAGCTTAATATGATCTTTGTGACCCTTATTTAGGCCCTTGTTACCCTTCTTTGGACCCTTAATCTGACCCTTGTGATCCTGATTTTGACCTGACCCTTTATTTTGACCCTTGTGACCCCTAATTTGACCCTTATAGGCCTTACGCTCAGCCTCATGACCCTTCATCTGACCCCTATTCTGACTCGTGACCCTTAATCCGACTTACGTGACCCTTAATCTGACCCTTGTGATCCTTATCCAGACCCTTATGACTCTTTTTTTCCTCACGACCCTTAATTTGACCTTCGTGATACTTATTCTGACCCTCATGACCATTATTTTGACACCCCTAACCCTTATTTTGACCCTTATGACTTATGCTGAGCCTCATGACCCTTCATCTGACACTTGTGACCCTTAATTGGACCCTCATGATCCTTATTTGACCCTTGTGAGTCTCAGACTGAGCTACATGACCCTTCATCTGACACTTGTGACCCTTAATCTAACCCTCATGACCCTTATTTTGACCCCGGTGACCCTTATTTTAGCCCTTGTGACCTTTAATTTTGGAGTCTTAATTTGGATTTTTATAATATAAAGACATGTCGTTTTTTGTATCAACTAAAATTTCCTGGGAATTTTTATCAAGCAACAGTTCCACTGAAATTTCAATTTGATTGAAAAATCAATGGAAACTGCCTATTTGAGCTCAATTATTCATTGAAAAATTCTGAACTTCTTGGCAATTGAAGTTCCCGTAAAATTTCATAATTTCTTAATTCCAATTTTTTTTCCAACAATGCACAGGTATTTCAATTTTTATGCCATAGGTGCCCAGAATCACGCGATTCTAACCTCGCTTCGCTCGGTAGAATCGCGGATTCTGGGCCCTATGACATAAAATAGTATACGAAACTCGTGCGTAATGGTGTTTTTTGACTCGTGGGATTGTAAAACTCGCCTTCGGCTCGTTTTACAACTTCCCACGAGCCAAAAAACCCATTACGCACTTGTTGCGTAATATACTATTTTTCCATCACTGAATTGAGTAGAAATGAGGATTTTCATTTTGATAAGTAATAAGTTTTCTGTTGAGACAAAAATTAATTCTGTTCTTAAACCTCCCTCTGAACGGTTCACGAAGGGGAAACACCGAGGGATGTAATAATTGAGTCTTTAAAAAATGATTGACACATTCGATCTCTACGATGCGTGTAAAAGTCCATAAGAAATAAAACTACACGGCGCAACCTTGAAAAATGATTCAAAAATGTTGAAAAAATTCACATGTACTTTCCATGTCGTTGGTTATTCTTATCAAACACGAAAATTATGAAATTCAATTTTTTTTACATATGAGCCATCCTAATGCACACTCATTTGAAACAATCGAAAACCAAGCGGAAATATCATTTCCCCTCGAGTTTTTCCTCAATCATTCCGCCAAAGCATTCAAACCCATTACAAGAAGCCAAATCCGCCGTAAATTCGAAAAAGGGAGATGAATTCTTAAAAAAATGATATTCAAGAGCTCTTCAAAATCACCGCCATGCTCCCAGGCGTAAGTGATACTTTCCCCTCAACTTCTCGGAATTCCGAATTTTCTCCACAATGAGTGCCTTGTCTCCTCATTGAAAAGCAAAGAGTTGGTGTGATTGAATCCCACGGAGCCGAAAATCCCCACCTGAACCGGCTCTTTGAACGGATGAAGAAAAAAATGTCTAGACACTAGACATTTAATTCACGCGAGATCACAAACGTCTCTCTGTAAATATTGACACAATGGCGATCATTAAATATTGTACATTGTGAGGACTGTTTATTGATCCAAATTCTTGGGAGCATCGACGCCACTTTGTTTACAGATTCATGACAACGTCGAGTGGATGGGGTACGTGAGGCTATTAAGATGAATTAAAGAGGCTCGTCGACAACTTTATTTCATTAACCATCGGTGAATGCGGGGTGGGAGGAGTTAGAGTGGAAATTCGCGTGCTGAGATACGTGATTATTGGTGGTACAGGCACGTCCCGAACGACAGACATCTTTATGAAATGAATTTCAGAGAGGTTTTGTTTTTTCTTTTGAAAAAACTGACACAATCGACTTCATTAGGAATGAGGATGCAACGAAAAAAATTGAAAAAAATTGACTGGCCAATTTAACGCCATTTTACGTGGGAATTACACGCCGTGCACACCTCACGGGTCCCGACATCCAGCCGAGCGATTTAACCACTTCGGCCACCGTCGTCGGTTGAAATTCGCTCTAGTAGTGATTTCGTATTCCCAAACCAGTAACCACGAGTCCTACAATAATCCAAAAATGTTAATTTTCATGAAAGAAATATTTTTCGTTTGAAATTTCTCTCGATAGCTTGAGTAGCTTTCGCACTATGTCAATTTAGATAATTAAATTGTTAATAACAATGCCTTTGCCGAAGCAGATGGAAAAATAACCAACATATTCGTGTTCCACACCTTCGAATTAGTAAATATCGATCGTATTCAGCTGGGGACCTCATTTTCGGGATAACACCGCAGTCAGCGTATGGACTATCTAGCCCTAGATTGGTCGCCCTATGAGGAAACCCCGCCGCGCGTCCTTTTTCTTCAATTACAATTGACTGGCTAACCGGAAAAATTGAAAAAAAAATTGACTTTCTCAATTGAAGTGTCTAAAAAATTACAGTAGTTTTTAGAACAACATATTTCTCAAAATTCCTGAAGAAAACAAATTATTTCGAACAGGTGAATTATTTTTTCCCATGTTAAATGAAACTGCCCATGACGCGACGTTGCCGGAACCTCGCTAAACGCGCCGGAGCAGTATAGAGTGAATTCGGCAACGCTAAAGCCAAAATGACACAGCGGGGAATCCCCGCGGAGGTGACCGAGTCGCAGGGTCGCGTTTGGTGACCAGACTAGGGCTAGCAATAGGAAAAATGAAAAGACTTTTCGGGCCCCTCATGGCTCCGGAGTGGCACCAAGCGCCACATAATTCACCCGGGGCGAGACACAACGTCGTATTAGGATCAAATTTCTGCGAGGATGAGAGAGACGTGTTTCCGTCACTGACAAATAGGGCGTCTCAGAGCCGCGTGTGGACAACGATCGCTTCGTTATGTAAACAGAACTCGAGACCTTGAATAGGGCCACTTGATCTTCCAATTCCTC